TTCCCCACAGAAGTTTGGACCTGCGACGTGAGCGGATTAGGGCCCATTTGTGTGTGTGTGTGTGTGTCTGTGTGTGTGTGTATATTCAGGGTAGCGCTTTCAGGTTGGTTTAAAGAGCAAACAAGTGGAAAGCCAGCATTCTGAAAATCACCCCTATTTTGCCACAAACTCATTTGCCCTGTCTGGGTGCTGAGGCCGGCATGGGCATCTGCCTTGCAAGCCTGAATTAGACGCTCGATGTGCATTCTTCATGACATGTATAAGAGCTTCAGTTGGTGGACAGAATCCCCAGATGAATGATGTCCGCCAAAGGTCCCCAATTAGAATTTTTACCCACACTGGGTGTAGGTGCAGACCCGCCCAGCGTCTTGTCGCAATTCGGTGAGTGCAACAGTGCGCCTTCTTCATTGCAGATGATGATGATGATGATGATGATGATGATGATGATGACGACGACGACGACGACGACCTCGACTATGATGATGATGAGGATGAGGATGACGATGGCGATGAGGAGGAGGAGGAGGAAGAGGAGGAGGAGGAGGACGACGACGAGGTCGACGACGACAACGATGACAATGATGATGATACCGACAATGACAATGAAGATGACAATGAAGATGACGATGACGACGACGATCATGATGACGACGACGACGACGATGATGCTGACGATGATGATGATGATGATGATGATGATGCTGATGATGATGATGATGATGATGATGATGATGATGATGATGATGATGATGATGCTGATGCTGATGCTGATGCTGATGCTGATGCTGATGCTGATGCTGATGATGATGATGATGATGATGATGATGATGATGATGATGATGATGATGATGATGATGATGATGATGATTATGATTCTGATGATGATGAATTGACCGTTGCTCGTGAACTTGGAAGCGCCTTTGTGCTTGCTGCGAAGACCCAGGACTCGTCAGGAAGCTTACCACAAGGCACAACTTACCTCAAGCAGCAGCTGGAAGACTTCGATGAGCCACTGGTACGCAGCTAGGTTCTTGATGGATTTGCCAAGCCATTGTGTTTGACACCGCAGTCGCATCAAGGGTCTTCCAATCGAGGTGTCCGATTCAGATGACTCCCATGTTAGAGCCCGTCAGAGTCGTCCACGAGGCTGTGTAAGCTAAAGCAGACGGATCAGATCAACTTCCAAGCACGGTAAGATACAGTTGACTTTGGGAGTGAGAAACTCTAGTTGATTGTTTGCGCGAAGGACGAAGATGCCAGGATGGGACAGCCAGCACACATCATGGATCTTGAGGCTGTGGAGTGTGGAGCCTTCATGCTTGAATTAGCTGCTTGAATCACATTGAATGCGGAGCAAGGCACGCGTGAGTAGCAGTAGTCATGCCACCGCAGTGCCATGTTTGAGTTGTGCTGAGCTGAGTCGCCGGTTGATGACCCTGCATTACGCAACCTGCTAGATCAATAAGGGTGGTCTGTTGACCCAAGAAGTGATTCAGATCCCATTGCAGGGTTTGCTTGATGCTGGGTTCTCATCTGCATGGTTGCAACTGTGATGTGGTTTCCAATCAACATCACCAGCTTAGCTGGGCTGTTGAAAGGCAATCCGAAGGATCCTTCCCTCGGTTCACCAAAGATCCCTCCCTGCAAGTATTATCCTCCCAACATCAGGTTTTTCTCCGCCGACTGTGCAGGCTGCAAAGCGGTGGCTCTCAGAGTCGCCAGCAGAGGCAGGGCTGGGTGGTTGCGGGCCCAATTCAGCAGGTGCGTGCGTGGAAATTTTGATCTCTCTCAGGTGGACAACATGGGAAACACAAACAGGCGCATGATGCCGCATGACCAAACCAGACCAACACTGTGCAGATGGTGCGGTCGTTGGAGGCTTTGCCGCCAAGGGCATGGCACATTGATGGGGGTGCTGACATTTGTCGGTGCCCGACACGAGGCTCGATGTCCTTTCTGCCGTGGTCGCGTGCTCCATGTCGAGGCTGAATGCGGATTTGCTTTCAGCTTGAGAGTTGGATTCGACAAATTCGCTTCCTCTCCCCCGAACTGAGCAACAGGCAGAGCCAGCCGAGCAGCTGAAGGTCACTCTGCGATCGCCGCTTTGCCTGGAACTGTGGCAGCTGCTTGAAGCCGGGGCACGCGTCTCACGAGGCTTGCGGAGAAGACTTACACCAACAGCGAGGGTGTGGCTCATAAGGCGAGGCAGAGGAGGGTCATGACATACCATGGGCTCAGAAGAGGACCATGGCCGCGCTGTTGCACTTGTCAATCGTGGTCAGCTGCAACACAAAGCTATTTGGCGACGCTGCGACAGCAGCAATGTCCAGGTGACCTTTGACACTGTTTATGGCAGGAATACGTGTGAACGGTGTGTTGTCATGATGGCTCGTCACGATGGCACCCAATGAAGATTCACTGATGGTGGAGGAGTGATATTGGGGTAAAAAGAATAGCTACGAACACTTTGAATAAGAGATGTGGACCAGATTGAACGCCTGCATGTCACTTCATTCATTGCCACTTAATCCGTGTTCAAGGGGTTGATCATGTCTTTGGAATCTTCAGTGCGTTATTCTGGATCTGAACGAGTATCTTTCCTATGTATAGATTTTTCTTTGACAGGAGCGTCATTCATGTCCAAGAGCCGCTTCATTCTTGAACTCACGGCCTCCAGAGCTTAAGTAGTACAATGAGACGAACCTTTGTATGGACAGTCTGTGGACATATTTCCGAAGGGAAGCAATACTGTACCAACCGCAGCAGCAGCAACCGCAGCAGCAACCGCAGTAGCTGCAACCGCAGCAGCAACAACCGCAGCAGCAACAACCACAGCAGCAACAACCGCAGCAGCAGTAGCCGTAGCCTCAACATCGCAAAAGCTGCCCCGCAACAGCGATATTGTAGCAAGCACTGCGGGAAGCACGACTAGAGAGAACGTGCAAGTGACACACCATGGCATGAACCTGGAAAGACGAAGGCAGTAAGTCTGTCTTTCGAACCAGGCCGTACGGCTTGGAGATGCTCGGCTCCTGACGGCGCTTGGACGCCTGCTACCAGCGGCCAAGTGGCGAGACTCGCTGCTGCGGAAAAATGCTCAAGGCCGGGAGTCTGTCACAGCGCGTTGATTGAACGCTGAGCTCTTAGGTAAGGGGCCCTTCGAGCTGCTTGCCAAGCAGTCAAATGAGGCGCGCTTAGTGGAGCTTCAACGAATATTTGTGTCAGATCCAGGGTAATTACTGGGGCAGCCGTGGATGGCTGGAGAGTTCATGAAAGGGTGGCCTATGGCCAGGTATTTACCCTGATCTTGTCTATGTCTTGTGTTAGTGGTCAAGAACATCGACACAGCTGGACATACGCTGAATGGTGCCTTGCAGGAAGAAATTTGCGGCTTCATGAATGGATTGGACGTACAGCAAGCGCGTGACTTCAAGGACTTCGTCCCAGGTGCGATCGCATCTTGGCAATCAGCGCTGACTTTCAGGGACCAAGGGCTTGATTGTAGTTCGGCTGCAAGCGGTCTTGCTTGGGGCCCTGCCAGCGATGTCTCAAGGTACATTCCCGACTCTCGGCACGGTTTGCCAACGGCTGCGAAGTGTCACTTGGCTGTTGAAAGAATGGCTCCAAGACTCGCAATGTGTCAATGTGTTAGCAACGACGGTCACGGCACATTGAGGCCCAAGTGCATGTGCCTCCGAGGTGGTCACGTCAGAATGTATCCGATCCGAAACCGATTCGACCTGGAGATGAGGCTTTGGTTCTATCAGGCAGTACCTTGGCAGAGCAAAGGCGTGACCCACAATGCGATGATGAAGAATGTGCAAACCTGGACCTTGGTGGAGAGCTCGGGTCCTCATAATGGTCATACCACGCTGCAAAAGGGGAAGCAAGTCCGAGGGACACTGAAGTGTGAGGTCAAGGGTCAGGTATTTGATAGGGGCATGAGCCCGCAACCCCCTGGAATTAAGCAGTTTGTAACTTATTCCTCTCGGAACTGGGTCCCAAGGAGCTTGATAGACCATCAGCCAGGGTCAATGTTTGATACCAAGAGGTTGCATGGCATGTCGTTTCAAATCAGCGAATGCGTATCCTGCAGAAACCCGCAACTCCGGCTGCGCAACCTCAACTCGTCCATTTCCTTACCAGCATGACCTTGAATCAACTTGAAGCCTTGAGGTGTGTATTATTTGCTGAGCGTCTTGGCGCCAATTGGCAGAGTGCAACCAGCACTTCGGGTCTGGTTGCGTCAGAGGTGTGTTGCCTGGCGGGGACTCCCGGGTGGTGCTCTTGCGCTGCAACAACAGCTCCGCAGTGCTGTGCACAGCTCCCCTGGCAGAGAGCCTTTGTCAGGCCTGGTGTTGGAGTCCAAGTCGAGTGCGAAGACAGCATTCCAAGAGTTTTTTTCTGAAATGTCCATCATGCGCAGGGTGCTGGCTTGTCCAAGACTCCAATTAAGCAGCCGATTTCAGCCCCCGGCGGTTGGTTTCAACAGAAGGCCAAAGCCTTTGGCTTCTGTTCAAGGCGTTGTTTTTTGGAGACCTCCTATTTTCAGGTAAACCTTGGTTGGTGGTGTTGACTGATGTTTTGGGGATTTTAACCCCTGGCTTTTGCAGACGGTAAACGGAAGCCACCCCTGAAGCACCAAGCCACCAAGCCAACCACCGATCAGAAGGAAGTTGATATTTGGAGACAAACTCTGCTTACATTCCCACCAGTTTTTGCCTTCGCCAGGGCCGGTGCCCTGAGCTCTACGAGCCCGGGCTGGAAGTGGCCTTGGCGGGGCTCAGCGCCAGTCCCCGGCGCTTCGTGGGTCGATTCACGCACCTCGACAGGCCAAGCCCGGGATCCCCCGCTTTCGGCCATTGGGGACGGCTTTTAAGTTACTCCGTGGCGCCAGAAGTTCAAAGATGGGTGGTTGAAGAGTACGGGACAACGCCAAGCACAGACGACGCAAAACAATCCACGGCATGTCAACCGTAAGACCAGAAACTCACTTACTTTACCACATCCTTCTCGGCAAAGACATTCTTGGAATGGGGTGGGAGTTGTGAGGGTTGCGCAGGACTTTTTGAGTGCTTAGGATGAGATGTTCGGACAGGCGTAAATCCTTCCTAGGATGATGTTGGACGTTTTTCTGGGAAGCAGCTGGCTTGTTGCGTAGTGGACTGGCAGGTTGCAGCCAACTGCAGGGCTGGGAATCCACCACAATGTGTGGCGGCAACAGCGATGCCAGATGTTCACTTTCTGGGGTTGCTTTAAAAGGAAATCTGAAGGAGACCTCATTTGAGTTTCGCCGTCGAGACACACCAAGGATAGGCGGGGCACCATACATCGATGACTTCGTGGTGGCTGGGATTTCCAGGTCTGCAGCTGCCCTGCGCTTGGAGGCATCGTGTTGTAGCCTTTGCCTATCCACCGAAGTCACGCCGACCGCACCAACTGAGCTACAGTATCATGGGCAGCTCGATGTTAGTTGGGGTCCCAGCCATGAAGGCAGGAATCGCCCTTTTCAGATTCAAAGCCGGCAGGGCATGCCAGTTTGAAGCTATTGAAGCCTTTGCTGATGGATGATTTGTTTGCCACAGCACGCAGTGGCGTGTTCTACGGGTGTCTCAGTCAACGCACACCCCTTTGGTGGGCATCAATTGCACGGGAGTCATGTCCTCAACTATTTGGGGGCATTTCCCGTTAGATTAACATTCATAACCATTTGTGCATCCACCCGTGATATAGACAGACACGTGAATTTGTCGCAGGCTCCAGCTGCTTGGTGCCTGCAATCTTTTGGCGAGTGGGAGATTGAGGACTGTGGTGGGAGGTGGGCACAGCTCATCATCGAGGGAAGGTACGGTTCTTCGTTTGGGCCAAGACTCAGTTAAGCACAAGTTTGCATACATTGTGTGTACCGGATACTCGATTAAAGACTGCAATCTACTCCCAATGAATACGGTGGAGGTTCCCTGTGCCTGGTTTGTGAGCTCTCATCTCTTTCTTTCAGAGTTGTACAGTGCTGAACAGCTCCAGGTTCAACCTGCGGTCTCAACTCTTGTGTTTTTCTTGCGTGCGCCTGACCTTGAAGGCTCAAGATTCACGCTTGAACGTAAGCAGAGTTCTGTGGTCGTTGCTTGCATTCTGTTGGAGATTTCAGAGGCTGGCAGGAAATGCATGCCTTGTAGAGGTAATTGTATACCGGTTGGCGCTTGGACCTTTGCAGGACAGTGCGGGCAAGCATTTTATTGCCAAAAACCACGTGCAACTTGGACCGGAGTTGCAAGCCAATGCCAAGTTGCAGCCTCTGCCGTTGTTGCAGCGTGTGTATCCTGCACCCTTGATGCCAAGGTACAGAATTCCTTCAAGACAGTCAATCCAAATGAAGATTCAGCCGCAAGGCACTTAGTGGTCACCAATGACAAAAGCATGAGAGGCTTGCAGATGGGTAGTGGACAAAGCAACGCGCAAACAGCTGGCCAAATAGCTGGTTGGCAAGTGGTTTTGAATGGGATCCCGCGGTGCCCGGCGAGTCTGGAACTGGCAAGCAGGGGTTAATTTTGTCAGTGGCTTGGCCAAGGCAAGGCATTCAACTGGTTCTGCGGCCCTGCTTCCTGGCCCGGAGAGCAACAGAGGACTTTGTCGCCAGCCTGAAGGCAAGGCGAGTTTGAGCGAGCCAGGGTGAGCCATTGGATCGTGAAAATCATGGCAGTGCTCCAATCATAGGACGTATATGAGCTTTCTAACATCGGATACAAAGAACTCAACTGGGGATGAACGCTCTTGCAGCTTGCCCATGAATATCACAAAGGCTCCAATGTGTCATGGTCAAAACACCCTATTGGCTGGGACGACTTGGGCTGGACAAATACTGAAGGTCGTTTATGGGCCTAACGTATGGATTCCTGGTGAGGGAGCCAGGCACAAATGGAGGTGGGCTAGAACTCCACTTTCTGGGTCGCTTGCAGCGCAGGTCCAGCCGTCTCTTTGCGACTCCAGCGGAGTCTTGGCAAAGCTCGTGACTGCTCCTCTGAATCGGACGAGCGTTGCTTCTCAACATATCAGGCACCCCACATAAGGTGGGTTCCCTTTAGTTTCTCGACCCCACTGGGAACCTCCCAAAAAACACACCCATGCAAGTTGCACTTGCAGAGTTTGCAGGGGTGCTTGACTAAGCTGGCAAGGACAGAAGTTGGTGCTGGTTCGCTTCCAAATGGATGCTTGGCCGGTGATGAGCCCCGTGGAACTTGTCAACTTTGACTTTGCAAAGACGTGCTTCCAGAGTTGGCTCCAGTATTCGTGCGCAGCTGAGGAACAACTACTTGAAAGCAATGGCAAAGATGACGTTCCCGCCATGCGAACAGAACATGTAGGAGCCAGCGCGTTGGGCTGAACTTGACATACCTTTCAAGGCCGGCCCTCATGCTTTGAACCACCCCTTGGGATTTCTCGAGAGTGGGAGGAAAGGATAGACACCACCCAATCCACCCTCATCCCTTTGCCAATCCTTTGGGACGTTTCTGGGCAAAGCCTTCGCCTTCCGAATCTCCGGACTTCCATCTCCGGTTCTTCGCGAGGAGCGGTGGCCGGGGGCTTCAGCGTGGGGCGGTGTGGGCACCTGGCGGTGCCCATGGCAGGACACCTGGGGGCCGCGGTGAGCCGCCGCCATTGCCTCCTCCAGCTGCGAGGCGCATGGCCCGGATCGTTTCGGTTGACACCTCACATGGGTACACTGGCATGCCACTTGGATGCCTGTGGGTTCGTAGAACAAAGTCAAAGCAAAGGAAGTCAGAAAGCCAGCTGGATGGAGGAGCACTGTGTGCTCAACACAGCCAATGTATTCTCTACAGATGGACCACACCCCAATGTTCCCCACAAGTACGCAATCATGGAGCTTTGTCAATGGTTCGTTCTGGCCTCATGAAGTATCATCACTGAAAGGATTTTATCCGGGGTCTGGCAATGAATCCTTTGTGTTGTTAGTATTTCAATGATAGTTGTCATGGTTGCCGTCGGCGCCCCCGCCGTCATCGTCATCATCGACGTCCTGAGTTTCACCGTTGCTATTGCCATCGTCATCTTCCCCATCCTCCTCCTCCTCCTCCTCCTCCTCATCATCATCATCATCATCATCATCATCATCATCATCATCATCTTCCTGTAGGTCAAATGTTCTGCCCAAACTTTCAGTGCTGGGTGACGGGAAAGGTTCTATGTTGACAACAGCCAGCTGGGAACACACGGCAAGTTGGTTATAGGTTGCTTGCAGCAAGTAGCAAGAGCACACGAGCCCTTAGAAACAGGCGATCTCCGCTCGAATATTGTGAAAGTGCATTTCTCCACAGATTCTGTTGCCCTGGTTTTGCCAGCACTTGCCTCCTCAGGGTCTTTGGAAAGTCCCTGATTGTCAATCGTTGTCTTTCTTCCGATGCTGGTGTCATCATAATTTGCCCGTGCCTGGAACATCAAGTCAGACACCAACGTGCAAGCAAGGCAGTATGAGTGGCCAGATGAGTACCTCCATGCGCGCATTCCACAAGTGGCAGGCGAGCAGTTGGTGGCTTACGACGACGGCTCTGCACTGGGTACGAAGTTGAACGGAGAGGTGGGGCGTGTCTTCCGACGAGAAAAAAGAGTGCTTCTTTCTTCGGGTTTGTTGTACGCCCATGTTTTGCTGACTAGATGGCAGTGCATCATGGTCCGCAAGGCGGTATTCAAAGGAGAGTCTTCCGCAGCTGAACATGAAAGACCACTGTTTGGGGTTCTGAATTTGCACCATGTTGTTTGTGGTGGGGGCGGGTTCGTGGTAGTTTCGCGATTTCAGAGTTGCTTGGGATCCATCCGTTGCTTTTTTCTTGGGCTCCTTCCGGTTTCGTTGTTTGTGCAGCTAGGACCTGGGCGTGGGTCCCGGTGCTGCGCGGGCAGTGCAGCAGGGGGATGTGCTGGCGCTGGGAGGAACCCTCCTGCGCCTGGCGAAGGCCTGGAAGAGTCTCGGAGTAACGAACGAGAGCTAAGGTTTGATACGTGGGCTATGGCGGTTGTCAAAAATGGGATCCCATTTTGGTAGATGCATTCACCACCCATGTTAGAACCTATTTTAGTGGGGATTGGGATGTTCACCGGTGGTACGGGATTTTGACCCATTGCCATATTGAATATTGAAACTGATATTGTGGTGTTTTCCTTGGGTGGTGATTTGGTTGTTTAGGTGGCTTGGGTGGGTCCGTTTGTTGAAACCGGCAAAATTCAGTGTTTGCAAACGCTTTGTTGCAGAAAAAGAGGCGAGGTGGCATCAAAACCTGGGTCATTGAAGATTTGATATTTGAGTTTGGCAAATTTTGTGATTGTTGGAGGGAGTATAGTGGGGGACAGTTCCAGCCAGAACTTGGTGTGGTCGTCTCGTTAGATTTTTGCTTCGGACTTTGGAATAAGAGGCTTTGAGTGACTCAGCTGAGGTTTGGTCGAACATTGCGTGGATGTGGAAGGGACATGAGGGGACTTGCTGAATTTCCCCCTAATTGTCCCATGTCCTTTAGGGCAACATGGTTTTGGAGTATCTTTGGCAGCAAAGGACGCCGTCGAAACCAAGAGTCACCCTTTGCGCATATCTACAAGTGTCCAAGCTGCTTGGCCTTGAACGCCGCCCCATCCCTTTTGGAGCGGCTTTTAAAACAAAAAAAAAGAGAAAAGACATGTGGTTGATGATTTTGAAAGGAAAACGGTTGGACAATCCGAGAACTTGGATGGGAGCCAAAGCTTTCGACAGTGTGCAGGTGTCTCCGGTGCTTCGAGCAGGCCGGTGAGTCAAAGGCTTTGTGCATCACTCGATCCGTGCCTGCACCCCTGAGACGACGACTCAGCTCTCCCAGCTTTGTTGGCTGACATGCTCTCATCGCGTCTCGGAACTTCAGATGTCTTCGCGAGCAGCATGGGTTGCCATGTGAAACGAAAGTCGTTGCCGCGAAACGTTGATACGGCTGAAGACAAGCAGATGTGTGCGCGGATGGCAGATCTGAGGTTTGAGTCCTGCGAAAAGCTGAAGAGGATCGCCATGAGTCGCTGACACAAGGGACCGATGATATTGGGGACACTCACCAATTTCCCACTAATTTTAAATTAATTGGTTTTACACAGAGAATATTGACCGTGGCTCGTGGCATGCCTCGCATGTTTCATGCTTTGAGCATCCGGTGCCCCAGAATTCGCGACTGGAATTGAGCGGATTGCTCCTTTGCTACTCAGCCGTAATTTGCGAGGAAGCTGTTGCCTGGTCTCAGTACGTCCCGAGAATATTATACTTAAAAGTTGTGTCTCATTCCCGCATCAGATCCTTGCAGTTGCCAGCCTTATTTGCTGTCTCTCCATCCCATTTTGCGTGATGCACGACCAACCTGCCCATATTATGTCTGGCATCAGTTCAGTTGTTGCGCGCAAAAAGGACACTCAAGTGTCCCATGCGTCCTTGGTCAGCATCCGGATAATCGCATACATTTTCAGATTGCAGCATTCTCTGAGAGAATGCCTGCCCTTGTAGTCTAGCACCTATGCAGAGGAGGAAAACTAGTGGAACCGCGCCCGCAGGATCGCCTGAAATGGAGGCATCCCTCGTGTCAGTACCCATACAGGTTCCTGAAATGGAGGGGACACCTCGTTGCATATGGGTGCGCTCGCTAGATGACGTAATATTCAGGTCATGATGTAAGGGTGTTTCCTTGCCCAGCGAACTCGCTTTTCGCACGGTTTGTAGCGAATTTCTAAGCAAGACATCATACTGCCGGATGTTGCCATCACCGCGAGTTGAGTTTCGTTCAACAACCAAAGCAGGGCATCAATTTCTTAGTGCTGTAGGTGGGTAATGGGGAAGCAAGACCGTCTTTCCTAAATTGGCACCGTGTTTCAACCAGACTCAAGCCAAGTTGGGGCTCCCCCGCTCCGAGGCCATGTCGAGCAGGGCCTTGGCAGTGAAGGCATCCAAGATCTCTGGGGTGTCCAGCTCCGGCACGAAGAGCCGGAGAACCACCACCCGAAAAGGACGGGGCTCCTTGAAAGGCTCTCAAAGACGCGGGTTCCATTGTGTCATTACCCCCAGACTTAAGCTCATTTTCTCTAATGACTCTCATGGTTGAGGAGTCGGACCAGACTCCCCGAAATTGTGGCTTTCTGCTGTCCCTTAAAGGAGCCCTTGTTTGGCTTGACGTGTTGAGTGGAGGATGAGCGATGTCGATCCCTTCCTTGACGATTGCGTAGTTCAAATTGGACTACAGTGTCATGCCTTTGGCCTTGGCATTTGCCAGGAACCAACGACTCTGGTTTTGGAGACGGGTCAAAAGCCACTCACTCAGATCAAGTGATCAAATGGAACGCCCCCTTGATCCAAGGGCTCTACTGCCTGGCTTGGTGTGAACTAACTAGCCTCTGTCGGGGTGACAAAGGGCATCAATATTTCACAACAATTGGGAGTGTCTCACAGTCCAGCATATGCAGGTGCCCAAGATTGTTTGGTGATGACAGTGACTTAGAACCAGCTGGCACGCCAGATCTAAGGAGAAGCATCCACTGTTGTGGGAAAACTGCAGACGTGCTGTTTGGAGTTTGTGGTAGTATATGCTGCAGTTTTGATCGCGACTCATCTGGCATACAGGCATGGCACATGCCCGCGAGGCCTCCAGCTCAGTCGAGGACTACCATGTGAATCGCGAAGGCCACAATGCCTCCGACAAGCGTCAGCCTCACACTGCCGGATGCAGAGCTCCGGATATGCCCTTTTTTACTTTTGGGCCATTTCAATGTAGGTGCTGTATGAAACGGGCATGTAAGAAACCTGGTAGTAGTATTGGCCTTTGCTCAAATAATTATGTTTGTCCATGAGCAGTCCGTAGTTTGTGTTGAGCGGGGATTCCTTGCTGGTTGGGACATGACCAACAACGGCATGTTTGTTTGACGTCTTTACAGCGCACATCTAGGTTCATTGTGGGTGTCATCGGTGCGACATTGATGATCGTCCAGGCCTTGCTTACGGCATGTTATGTGAGCAAAGAAGCGTCTGAGGGCACGTAGTTGATGATGACACTGGCAAGGCATATTTTTTGCCGTCTGCTTTCAGAGCCACGGCAGGTAGTGGTGCTTATTGCTGGCCTAACCTCATGGCTAAAAGTTGTGCGGCTTGGCAAGAGTCATTGAAAGGCATGCGTGACTAACAGAAATATGCATCCACCTACTTGCATGTGCGCTCAGGAACACAGAGCTTGCAGTGGGCTCAGCTCAGTCCGATGCACTTGCTCAGAGAGTCAGCTTGAGTTCATGCACACGTTACTCATGAGCTGCTCAAAGACATGTCAAGGGCTTGGGGCTGGTATTGCAGATCTCACGAATGAGAGCTGCTACATTCTGTACCACAATCAAAACATTGTTGCTTCAGAATAGGCCCTCCGACAGCTATGAACATGATTCATTTTCATGGCACTGATGCCAAGGTTGAAGAGCTTCGAAAAGCTGGCATCGACAATGCTTGAACACGAGCAGGGAATTGGCAAACATTGACCTTTGTCAGATCGCCGCATGAAATGACATGCTAAACGCGGTTCTCGTGATTGAAATGATATATATATATATATATACTTTAGAGCCTCCGACTCAATCCGCCGACATTACACCCTCCGCTTCCTATCTCCTGCATATCCTTGCATTTCCCCGCACTTTACCATTTGATTTCCCCTTCATATCCCCTTTATTGTCCCTGCATTTCCCTGCATTTCACCGACATTTCTCTTTCTTTATATCCCTTTTATTCTCCCTATATTTCTCTTTAATTTCGCCTTCCTCGTTAATTCCCTTTTAGTGTCCTTTTATGTTGTTTTGCATTGCTACATACATTGCCTATATTGACCCTTGGTTAAATTTATTTTATTATTGGTTAAATTTCCGGGAAATTCGGGATTTGCCCGAATTGAAATTTCTTAACAAAAATAATATTTTTTTCTCTTTCTCTTATTTTATTTTTGCCTTTTTCTCTGTTTATTTCTAACTTTGTTTGTTTCCTTCTCTTTGTTTGTTTCCTTGTTTGTCTATCTCCTTTTGTCTGTCTTCTTCTTTGTATATTATTTTCTTCTTTCTTTCTTTCTCTTTCTCTTTCTTTCTTTGTCTTTTTTTCTTGCTCTTTTTTTGTTTGTTTTTTTTCTCTCTGTTTTTCTTTGTTTGTTCTTTCTCTCTTTTTTTCTTTTTTTTTGTTTTTTTTTTAAAATATGTTTTTTTTTTCTTTTTCTTTTTTGCTTTTTTTTTGATTCTCTTTACTTTTTTTCTCTCTCTTTGTTTTTTGTGATTTATTTTGTTTTTGTTTCTATTTTTTTTTTTTTTTATCTTTTGTTTTCTGTTTTTTTTGGTGTTTTGCCTTTTTTGTTTTTATTTTGCTCTCTTTTTTTTCTTTCTTTTTGTTTTTTTTTCTCTTCTTTTTTTCTCTTTTCTATTTTTCTCTTTTTCTCTTTTTCTCTTTCTTTCTTTCTCTCTTTCTCTCTTTTTCTCTCTCTTTTTTTATGTTTGTTTTTGTTTTTGTGTTTAGCTTTGTGTTTGTTATTGTGTGTGTTATATATGTTTTTTTATAATAATATTTATTTTTGCATTTTCTTTTCTTTTTTTCCCCCGTTATTTTTTTCCTTTCTTTTTTATTACGTTTTTTTTTTTAATTGTTTTTTTTTTTTTTATATTCTTCTTATTATTATTTTTTACTTATTTGTTTTTATTCTGGTGTTCTTCATGTTTCTTATTTTGTATGTTTTTTGTAATGGCTTACAATAACAATGGTAGAAATAATTAGATATGAAAAACAAAATAGAGCGAAAGGAAATAAACGGAGCTTTGAAAGGGTGAGATACGGCACATGGCAATATGGAAGTGTATTATCTTTGTGATTGACCTATAGAAATAAGTATAGATAGACAGAAAAATAAAGACAGAAATAGATATAGATAGATATTACCAAATAGAGAGATACGAACACACGGAAATAAATAGAGAGATATAAAAAAAACACAAAGAAATAGAGACGAACGATAGATATGGATACATAGAGACAAATAGAGACAATCCGAGAAAGAGAGAGACACAAACAGACAGATAGAGACAAAGACCAAAAAGAAACAGATTGGAATACGTAGAGATGCACAAAAATAGACAGAGAAGGATAAAGAATATGAAATCGATAGATATGGATACATGGAAACAGATTGGGAGACACAGAGAGAGGCAAAGATACGGAGACACCCGGCACACAATTTTCGCGAAATTTCGATTTGGATAGGTCCCTAAATTTCCCCGAACTTTTCTAAGCAAAATTGTTAAGAATCCCCCAAAATTTCGGCAAAATTTCAGGGCCTTCCGGGCCGCACGAACAGGCGGGAGCTTGTGCCGCGGAGAAAAGATCGGGACAAATATAGCCGCTCGCCGCAAGCACTACGATTCGGCCGGAGTATCGCTGTAACGGCTTGCTAATGTATGGGAAATGCGACCTCGAGGCCTTACCGATTTATAGGAGAATATATATATATATATGATTTCTCTCTTTTTTGCTTATTTGTTTACTTGCTTGCTTGCTTCCTTGCTTCTTTGTTTCCTTGCTTCCTTGCTTCCTTGCTTCTTTGCTTCCTTGCTTCCTTGCTTCTTTGCTTCTTTGCTTCCTTGCTTCCTTGCTTGCTTGCTTGCTTGCTTCCTTGCTTGCTTCCTTGCTTGCTTCCTTGCTTGCTTCCTTGCTTGCTTCCTTGCTTGCTTGCTTGTTTGCTTACTTGTTTGTTTCTGTTTTTCTCTTTTTTTTCTTTGTTTTTCTCTTTTTTTTCTTCTTATCTTTTTTATATCTCTTTTTTTTTTTATCTCTCTTTCTTTTTCTTTTTCTTTTTTTGTCTCTCTCTTTTTTCTCTTTTTTTTCTTCTTTTTTTTCTTCTTGTTTTCTTTTTTTCTCTTTATTTTTGAGTTTCCTTCTTATTTTGTTTTTTGTTTTGATTGTGTGTGTTTTTCTTTTTTTAAATATATATATATATTATTATAAATACATTTTTAAAATTTATTGTTGGAATAATTGGTATTCAAATTGGAGTGGTTATTTATATCGATAAAAAGGAATATTGAATGGTATAAAATTGCAATTTTAATAATATGAATTTATGAAGGATGAGTTATTATATTTTATGAAATATTAAGAATATATTTAGATGGTATTGATTTTGTTGATAGATTTATTATTATATAGAATTTTTGATATTATAGAAATTTGTATTAACAATTAATAGACAGGAATTTATTATATTAAATCGAATTATTTTTAAAATTATATTTAAATTATAAATTAACCCTAATATCGATATATAATAAATAAACATATATATATATATATATCGTTATATACTATAATTCTTTTTTAATTTATTATTTATTATCAAAAGTAATATATATATATATATATGTTAATATATATAAATTTAAAATTTAATTAAGCATAATTTAGAATTAATATAATTATAAATTTAAACATCTATAGTGCGTATTTATCAGTTAGCACTTCTTAGTAGGCGGCGCAGTTAGCACATCCCTGGGTTGGCCGGAATGCCCCCGTCAGCCCCGAACAATTAGCACACACCTGCCACACCCCGAAACCGAAAGGGGCGACCAACAATTAGCACATGCCTTTCTGGTTGTGGGTAGAGATATGCTTTCTGAAACGAGTAACTTTCGCAATGCAGTACAAGTGTAGTAAAGGAAGTACACTTAGCAGATCCGTCTCAAAAGTCGCAACTTTTCAGTACAAGTGTAGTAAAGGAAGTACACTTGGCAGATCCGTCTCAACAGTCGCAACTTTTCAGTACAAGTATAGTAAAGGAAGTACACTTTGGCAGCTCCGGCTCGAAAGCCGCAACTTTTCAGTATAACTGTAGTACAGGAAGTACGCATTGGCAGCTCCAGCCCGGACGTCTCAACTTTTCAGTACAAGTGTAGTACAGGAAGTACGTATTGGCAGCTCCTGCCCGGAAGTCTCAAGTTTTCACTACAAGGAAGTATGCCTTGGCAGCTCCGGCTTGAAAGTCGCAACTTTTCAATACAAATGCAGTAAAGGAAATAGATTTGGCAGATCCAGCTCGAAAGTCGCAATTTTCAGTATAAGCGTAGTAAAGGAAGTACATTTTGGCGGCTCCGGCTCGAAAATCGTAACTTTGTGTAGCAAAGGAAGTAGATTTGGCAGATCCGGCTCGAAAGTCCAGTACAAGCGTAGTAAAGAAAGTCCACTTCGGCAGCTCCAGCTTGAAAGTCGCAACTTTTCAGCACACGCGTAATATAGTGCGTATCAATCAGTTAGCACTTTTTTCCTAGGCAGATAGCATATTACTGTGTTAGCCGGAATGCCCCGTCAACCCTGAACAGTTAGCACACACCTGCCACACCCTGAAACCCAAAACAGCGGTCAACAGGTCGCATGGGGCTCTCTGGCTTTGGGCAGGCGATTAGAACGTCAAAGGGCTACATACGCTTTCTCGAATGTTCATGGAAGCATACGTGTCAAATCTTCACTAAGCGTAGAAACATGCACAGCCCAGTGAGCCTATGATGGAGGAAGGGTGTGCGGTGGACTGGCTTACATGGAGCTTGCGTGGATAGGTGCTGCTTTACTTGGCCCTAGTACTTTGTTGAACGTTATTTTTGTGTTACAGTGTGTTCGAATTTTGGCAGCTCCGGCTCGAAAATCGAAACTTTGTAGCACACGTCTAGCTACGCGAAGTACACTTCCGCAGCTCCAGATCGAAAATCCCAGCTTTGTAGCATACAAGTCTAGCACGCGAAGTGCACTTCCGCAGCTCCAGCTCGAAAATCGTAGTGCAAGTCTAGTGCGCAAAGCCCACTTCCGCAGCTCCAGCTCAAAAATCGCAACTTTGTGGTACAAGTCTGTGCGCAAAGTACACTTCCACAGCTCCAGCTCAAAAATCGCAACTTTGCAATACAAGCCTAGTACGCGAAACACACTTCCGCAGCTCCAGCTCGAAAATCGCAACTTTGTAGTACAAATCTAGTACGCGAAGCACACTTCCAAATCGCAACTTTGTAGCGCAAGTCTAGTGCGCGAAGCACACTTCCGCAGCTCCAGCTCGAAAATCGCAATTTTGTAGTGCAAGTCTAGTATGCGAAGTGCACTTCCGTAGCTCCAGCGCGAAAATCGCAACTTTGTAGCACAAGCCGAGCACGCGCGAAGAACACAAGTCGCGACTCGCCTTAGCGTTTTACGGCGGCCACGCAAGGGTCCCACCCTAACTAAGCTGCAACTGCAGGGGTCATTGTATAGAGCCACGTGTTAACTAACGGGTATCGTTTTTGGGGGAGACCGTATTGTTGTCCGTGGCGTTTTCGGAGTCGTAGGCGAAAGAGTACCCCCTTTACCAAAGTGGTCTACACGTGTTTTGTCCGTGACTCTTTTGTATCCTACGACTTGTCAGGGTGAAAGATAAGAGTTTACCAACATACAAATGGATTGCTAGGTGCC